TAGACACATCTACTCTATTTTTGTTACAGTAATTGAAATATTAAGCATTTTACATCCCATTGTATCCCTACCTTCCCTTTTCTTTTACCTCATCCTTCCAATAGAGTTATATCACAATTTTGGCTACATCAATAGACGGTGTTACATTATTATTATTATTATATATTTTCATTGATTTTAGAGAAGAAGGGAGAGATAAATATAGAAACATCAATAATGAGGGAGAATCATTGATTGTCTGCCTCCTGCATGCCCTCCACTGGGGATCCAGCCTACAACCTTGGGAATGTGCCCTTGACCAGAATTGAACCCAGGACCCTTCAGTCCACAGGCCAACACTCTATCTATTGAGCAAAACTGGCTAGGGCTGTTTACATTATCATCACTGTGTAAATAATGTGGAGCCAAGTAGTGTATTTTGATTGTTTTATGTCTTGAACAACTCTGTTTGTTGTGAAGTTATAATAATTTATCGAATTTATGCACCTATCTTAAATTTATTTCTGAAATGATAATTCTGCCAAATGCTTATTAATATTTCTCTCAAATGGGCAACATTTGTCAGATAACTTAAATTCATTTTCTTTTTACTGGAGACCTTCCTCATCCCGAATACTTTTTAGTCACTAGCGCCACCTGCTGACTATAGGTGGATAGGAAAGGCAGAATTAGGAGACGCAGGATAGGTGTCCTTTCTCTGGTCTCTGACCTTGAGAGTGACCATCTGGAGGAAGGAATGTGGTCCTTGAGACAAGAGTTAGAAGAGAGAATGTAAAATGATTAGCTATTCTCTTCCCTGGCCCTATCACCTTTTTCTTCTCTCTGTTTTCCCAGGAGGAGGGAAGCCTAGTCTGTATTACTTTCTTCCCATGCTACGGTCATCCTAAGCTCTGTCTGATCTCCCAGAGCAGTGTTTCCCAAAGTGTGGTACCCCCAGGGGTACGGGAAGAGTTTGGTGGGGGTATGCATTGCACTAGAGTTTGGTGGGGATATGCACTGCACCGTGCTTAGCTGCGCCTAATTCTACGTTCTAATGAGTATGAGGGGTACTCAGCGTTACGAAAATTATAGAAGGGGTGCACATATGGCAAAAGTTTGGGAAACACTGCCCCAGAGGAAGAGGGAGAGCTGGGCTGCCCACTTGCAAACAAAAACTTACAGCTTTATTGGGTATATTGATGGATGATAAACTACACCTAGTGAAAGTGTATAATTTCATGTTTTTTTATATGAAATTGTTGCTACGTTCAAGACAATAAACATGCTACTCCCAAATGTTTCCTCATGCCCCTGCCCTCGTTTTGTTGTTTTCTTATGTAAAGTGTCTGGTTTGGCACCTCCACCCCCACCCTGGTTTTTAAAAAATCTTTGTTGAAAGTATTACATAGGTTCTCCTTGCCCCTGCATTAACCTCTTCCAGCCCGCTCCCATCTTCTCCCCCCACCCCATTAAAAAATACTTTTATTAATTTCAGAGAGGAAGGGAGAGGGAGAGAGAAAGAGAGAGAGGGAAACATCATCGATGAGGGAGAATCATTGATCGGCTGCCTGTTGCACACCTTGCCCCCACCCTGGGGATCAAGCCTGCAACTTGGGCCTGTGCCCTGACCAGGAATTGAACCCTGACCTCAACCATCCCTCCTTCCCTCCCTCCACCCTTCCCCAGGCATTGGTCTCTGTTCTGCTGCTCAACCATCCCTCCTTCCCTCCTTCCACCCTTCCCCAGGCATTGGTCTCTGTTCTGTCGTTATATATTAGTTTGCACTTTCTATAATTTTATGTCAATGGAAGCATAATGTAAGGACTTCTTTTTGTTGTTGTTTGGCTTTTTTCGCTTGCATTATTATTTTGAAATTCGCCATGCTGCGTGGATCTGTAGTGTATTCCATGTTATTGCTCAGTGGCATTCTGCTGTGTGGATTTAGCACAATCGGTGTCCCCATGGACTCACGGAGGGACATGTGGCTTGTTTCCCGCTCTTGGCCATTTCAAACAAGACTACGGTGGACATCACCATGCAAGGCTCTCCACAGAAGCATGTCATCATTTCTCCTGGGTCGATATTCAGGAGTGGAATGTTTCAGTGGTATGGTAGGTGTACACTTAGCTTTTAACAAAACTGCCAAATGGTGACACTAGTTGCATCCCCGACAGCAGAGTCTGGGAGCGCACACCTTGCCAACAGTTGATCCGGTCAGTCTTTCACATTTTAATCCTTCGAACTGGGTGTAGTAGTTTTTCTTTGTGGTTTTATTTTGATTCGCATTTCCGAGTGACAAAGATGTGGAGCATCTTTTCAAGTGCTTAGTTTTGAAGGATTCCCTTCCCCCACCCTCTTTTTGTTGTTAATCCCCAGCCAAGGATCTTTTTCCAATGATTTTTAGAGAGAGTGGAAGGGAGGGTAGAGACAGAGACAATTCCATGTGCAGGAGTCACATCAATAGGTCATCTCCTGCACTGCGCTGACCAGCCAGGCCGGGCATTGGGCCTGAAACCCAGGTCCCTCTTCCTGACCACAGTCCAACCTGGGACTCTCAGTCTGCAGGCCGACCCACCTCTTCACGTCCTGCATTGGTAATAGGGATAATCCTAAATTTGGGCCGAGGAAGCAGTGTTCCTTGACAGGTATCATTAAATGCCACTTTCACCAGTGGTCTATAAAATTCTTAATTTACTAGCAATTCCCAAATCTGAGGGATAAAATTACCCTGGTGAGTTAAGAGAACCAATATAAGGAGCAGTTTCTTAAAAAGATGTGAGTGAAGTGCCTGTTCCCTGAATGTGAAGGGAGAGCCCTCGATATTTTTCTTCCCATTTCCTTCCATCAGAACAGATTGCTTTCAGATTAGCTGAAGGTCATTTCAGAAACGAGAGAGACTGTGCTTTGATGGGTTGGCCGAGTGGCTGTGGTTCTAGAGCAGGCGGAGAGGAGGAGATAGCGGATGGAGAATTGCCAAAGAAATGTGGATGGCAGACTGATAGGCCCCTGCCTGGCAGGCACCGGCCAGTGTGTGTGTGTGCTCTGGGGGAAGAGTAGGCAGGTGGGCGAGGCTGAGAGAAGAGGGGGGGACATAAGTGTCAGCACCTGATTAGGTCAGGGACAGGCCCAGGAAAAGAGGGGGGAACGTAGTGAATATGAAAGTCACCTCCTAAAAGAATAGCCACCTCCTAAGTAGTTTGTCCAGAGCAGTGTGAGAACTGAGCTGGAATAGCTTTTATTCTCCAGTCTCCTACAAGCCAGATTCCTTCCGCTTCAAACTCCCCGAACCCGCTCTCCTTTGGGGTTCCATGCTTTTGTGGTGGCAGCCCCGCCACAGCTCCCCTTTCCCGCCGGCTCTCCGACCACAGTAACGGCTCTCCGGTCCCTCTTCAGTACAGTGTAGTGGTTGCTAACGAGTCAGGGCTGGAGAGCTGAAAGGCCTGGCTTTGGCATCTGGCTCTGCCATGCACTGGCCGCATGACTGTGGGCCAGCTGCTAATCTCCCTGTACTCGGGTGCTTTTGTAAGAAGAGAGATGAAAATATTACCTCCCTCAGGGAGTGGTGAGGATTAAATGAACTAATAAAAGTGTATAGAACAGCCCTGGCGGGTGCTACATATCAGCCCAGGCACTGAAGGGTGGTGGGTTCGATTCCCGGTTGGGTATGTACAGGAGGAGACCAATTGATGTGTCTTCTCTCTCTCTCTCTCTCCCTCCCTTTCACCCTCTGAAAAGCAGTGGGAAAATTTCCTCAGGTGAGGATTCACAAAGCAACATCCATTCAGAACAGTGACCGGCAGGCTGTAAGCTCTCCGTAATGAGTTTATTGGAACGTAACTCCTTGGCTCCACTTTCAAGGCGCTTCCCACTCTGTCCTCCGCCCTCCGTGCTCTGGTTGCCTTCACGTCTTGCCCAGTTCACTGGCCTTTTGCTGATGGCTTCATTGAATCGTGAGTCTCTGCTTAACTCAGGTTGCCACTGCCCGGAAGGCCCTCACCAGTTCACCGGATCTTCAAAGATCCCTTCCCATCCCCTCTCCTCTGCCCCCTCTTATCATTATTGTTTGTGGGCTCTCTCCAGGCCCATTCCCACCAGCATTCTCAGCACGGCGGCATGGAGCGAACTGCACCCCCCTCAGTCCCCCTCCTGCCCATCGGTGTTGTCCCTGCGCAGCCTGAGAACTGGAGGCAGAAGCAGGGTCTGAGGCTCCTGCGCCCTCTGTGGAGTGAGCACCTCGCCTTCCCTCACTCACTGAGCATCCCTGAGGCCATTCCGTTCAGGCCTCGAGGCCATGGCCACCCGCGGCTTTCACAGCGGGTTGGCCAGGGGTGGGTGATGGGTGCTCTCCTGCCCTGCCATTCTCCAAGGGCAGAGGTTCCTTTCAACGAAGATCCAGACTCCCCCAACCCCGCCTTCACGTCTGAACCCAGAAAGCAAAGCACATCGCCCTCCTAGGTTCACCAGATTAACCCCTTCCCTCACCATCCTCTCCTCAGAGGAAGCCGGTGTGTTCTCAGGGGCAATGACCTGTCAGTTCTTTCCCGTTAAAAGTCTCATTTTTCTACGGTCCTCGGGGCCACTCCAACCTCTAAACTGGTAGGATCGGATGGACTGGGACAGTTCACTTCCTGGAAAGGGGACCAGGGAAGCTGGGGGAGTCCCTGATGGGGCCTGGAATGCAGACACCTGGTCCAGAACCCTTATTCTATGATCCTTTCCACCGCTGGGCTGCAGCCTCGTCTCACTCTGGACCAATGTCATTGTCTCACGTGTCTGCCAGCCCCCACTGCTTCCTGCCGTGATTCTCTTTCAGCGAGGGAGGGAGAGATAGAAACGTCCATGATGAGAGAGAATCTTCCATGGGCTGCCTCCTGCACGCCCTCTCCTGGGGACCGAGCCTGCAACCCGGGCAGGTGTCCTTGGCCGGACTCGAACCCGGGACCCTCCAGTCCGCAGGCCAGGGCCGGCTGGGGCCCTTCAGCGAGTCTTCATGCCACCCCTGCCCCTCTCCACCCCCAAACCGTCTCCAGCCCCGCCCAGGGCTGGGGCCTGGCTACTGGAGGCAGAGCCACAGGGCGCAGAGGCCGGGCAGCAGCGGGGCGCGGAGGGCGGCCGCGGACAGGGGCGCCCCGGCGGCGTCCGAGGGGAACAGGTGCAGCTGCCCCGGGTCCGGCAGGAAGGCGCGCGCGTCCTCCAGCGCGGCCCGCGCGGCCGCCGCCCAGCGGGGGTCCCCGGACACGGACACGTCGAAGACGCACGAGTGGAAGTAGGCGTCCTCCACCGGCAGCCGCTCCTTGCACAGCCGCCGCGCCGCCGCCGCGCCCAGCGGGCCCGGGGGGCTGCGGGAGAGCCGCTGGCCCGGCGGGCAGCCGCCCACGCACAGCTGCAGGTCCTGCTCCGCCGAGAAGGCGTGCGCCACGTCCTCCGCCACGCGGATGGCGAAGGACAGCTGCCCGGCCGCCTGGCGCACCACCACCGTGGTGCCGATGTAGGCGGCGCGGATCTCCACGTGGCGGCCCGGGCTCGCCGAGCGGATGGACAGGCTGGAGCCCCCCGGCCGGTCCCCGCCGTTGACGGAGCCGTCCTCGAAGGCGGCCGGAAGGTTGTCCACCTCCGCCTGGTACACCTTCTGGTCGATGCACTCCTGCATGTTCTTAAAGATGATGGTGAGCTGGCAGGGCGAGAGGGAAGGCGGTTCGTTCCGGTGCAGGGCACCCTTCCCCTTCTTCCTCTTCCCCTTCTTCCCCTTCCTCTTCTTCCCTTCCCCTTTCCTCTTCCCCTTCCCCTTCTTCCCATTCTTCCCCTTTCTCTTCTTCTCTTTCCTCTTCTTCCCTTTCCCCTTCCCCTTCTTCCCTTCCCCTCCTTTCCCTCCTTCCCCTCCTTTCCCTCCTTCCCCTCCTTTCCCTTCTTCCCCTCTTCTTCTTCCCCTTCCCCTCCTTCCCTTTCTTCCCTTTCTTCCCCTCCTTCCCTTTCATCTTCTTCCCCTTCCTCTTCTTCCCTTTCCCTTTCCTCTTCCCCTTCCCCTTCTTTCCCTTTCCCCCCTTCTTCCCTTTCCCCTTCTTCCTCTTCTTCCCTTTCTCCTTCCCCTTATTCTCTTCCCCTTCTTCCCCTTCTTCCCCTTCTTCCCATTCTTCCCTTTCCTCTTCTTCCCTTCCCCTTTCCTCTTCCCCTTCCCCTTCTTCCCCTTCCTCCCCTTCTTCCCTTTCCTCTTCTTTCCTTTCCCCTTCTTTCCCTTCCCCTCCTTCCCCTTCTTCCCCTCCTTCCCTTTCATCTTATTACCTTTCCCCTTCCCCTTATTCCCTTCCCCTCCTTTCCCTTCTTCCCCTTCTTCCCCTTCCCCTCTTTTCCCTCCTTCCCCTTCTTCACCTTCTTCCCCTCCTTCCCTTTCCTCTTCTTTCCCTTCCTCTTCTTCCCTTCCCCTTTCCTCTTCCCCTTCCCCTTCTTCCTATTCTTCCCCTTTCTCTTCTTCCCTTTCCCCTTCCCCTTCTTCCCTTCCCCTCCTTTCCCTTCTTCCCCTCTTCTTCTTCCCCTTCCCCTCCTTCCCTTTCTTCCCTTTCTTCCCCTCCTTCCCTTTCATCTTCTTCCCCTTCCTCTTCTTCCCTTTCCCTTTCCTCTTCCCCTTCCCCTTCTTCCTTGTCTTCCCCTTCCCCTTCTTCCCCTTCTTCTGCTCTTTCCCCTTCTTCCCCATCCCCTTCTTCCTCTTCTTCCCCTTCTTTTTCCCCTTCTTCCCTTTCCCCTTCTTCCCCTTCTTCCTATTCTTCCCTTTCCTCTTCTTCCCCTCCCCTTCCCTCTTCCCCTTCCCCTTCTTCCCCTTCCTCCCCTTCTTCCCTTTCCTCTTCTTTCCTTTCCCCTTCTTTCCCTTCCCCTCCTTCCCCTTCTTCCCCTCCTTCCCTTTCATCTTATTACCTTTCCCCTTCCCCTTATTCCCTTCCCCTCCTTTCCCTTCTTCCCCTTCTTCCCCTTCCCCTCTTTTCCCTCCTTCCCCTTCTTCACCTACTTCCCCTCCTTCCCTTTCCTCTTCTTTCCCTTCCTCTTCTTCCCTTTCCCTTTCCTCTTCCTCTTCCCCTTCTTCCTTGTCTTCCCTTCCCCTTCTTCCCCTTTTCCCTCTTCTTCCCTTTCCCCTTCTTCCCCTTCCCCTTCTTCCCACTCTTCCCCTTTCCCCCTTTTTCTTCTTCCCCTTCTTCCTTGTCTTCCCTTCCCCTTCTTCCCCTTTTTCTCCTTCCCCCTTCTTCCCCTCCTTCCTTTTCTTCCCCTTCTTCTTCTTCCCCTTCTGCCAGAATGGAAACCTAACATTGTCACTGGTAATAAAATGTAAAAAGAGCTAGCCAGGCTTGATGGCTCTGAATGGTCAGAGCTATTAACTCATTGACTCTAAGTTAAGTCACTGGTGGTAAAATGTAAAAAGAGCTGGCTAACCGAAACCAAACATTTGTTCCCTGGTAGTAAAATGTAGAAAGTGCTAGGCAACCTTGATGGCTCTGAATGGTCTGAGCTATTAACTCATCATCTAGTTGAGATAGTGGTGGTTGAGGCAACTTTAATTTGTTAATCATATGTAAATGTAAATTCTTGTTGATTTTCTGTTGTTGGATCTTCCCACATAAGAGATGTCTTTGTTTCAGGATCTCAATAAAAGGAATGGTAAAAGGCCAGAGCATGGAGTAGTCCTCTCCTAGAGGTGGACTCCCACCTGGCCCCCATTTTCCCAAATTAACTCTTTTCCAGTCTTTTCATTTTAGTGTGCGGCCTTCTCCAGAATCTGGACCTTGAGTGGGCCCTGAACCACGCGGGTCATGTTAAGGGATCCCACACCCTTCTTCCCCTTCTTTCCTTTCTTCCCCTTCTTCTTCTACCCTTTCCCCTTCTTTCCCTTCTTTCTCCTCTTCCCATTCTTCCCCTTCTTCTTCCCCTTCTTCTTCCTCTTCTTCCCCTTCTTCCCCTTCTTCCCCTTCTTCCCCTTCCCCTTCTTCCCCTTCTTCCCATTCTTCCCCTTCTTCCTCTTCCCCTTCTTCCCCTTCTTCCCCTTCTTTTTCCCCTTCTTCCCTTTCCTCCCCTTCTTCCCCTTCCCCTTCTTCCTCCCCTCCTTCCTCTTATTCCCCTTCCCCTTCTTCTCCTTCCTCCTCTTCTTCCTCTTCTTCCCCTTCTTCCCCTTCCCCTTCTTCCCATTCTTCCCCTTCTTCCCCTTCCCCTTCTTCCCCTTGTTCTTCCCCTTGTTCTTCCCCTTCTTCCTCTTCTTTCCCTTCTTCCCCTTCTTCCTCTTCTTCCCCTTCTTCCCCTTCTTCCCATTCTTCCCCATACTTCCCCTTCTTCCCCTTCCCCTTTTTCCCCTTGTTCTTCCCCTTGTTCTTCCCCTTCCTCCCCTTCTTCCCATTCTTCCCCTTCTTTTTCCCCTTCTTCCCCTTCTTTTTCCCCTTCTTCCCTTTCCTCCCCTTCTTCCCCTTCTTCCCCTTCTTTTTCCCCTCCTTCTTCCCTTTCCTCCCCTTTTTCCCTTTCCCCTTCTTCCCCTTCCCCTTCTTCCTCTTCTTCCTCTTCCCCTTCTTCCCCTTCTTCCTTTTCTTCCCCTTCTTCCCCTTCCTCCCATTCTTTCCCATACTTCCCCTTCCCCTTCTTCTTCTTCTTCCCCTTCCCATTCTTCCTCTTCTTCCCCTTCTTCCCCTTCTTCCCCTTCTTCCCCTTCTTCCCCTTCTTCTGCTCTTTCCCCTTCTTCCCCATCCCCTTCTTCCTCTTCTTCCCCTTCTTCTTCCCTTTCTTCCCCTTCTTCCCATTATTCCCCTTCTTCCACTTATTCTTCCCCTTCTTCCTCTTCTTCACCTTCTTCTTCCCTTTCCCCTTCTTCCCCTTCCCCTTCTTTCCTCTTTCTTCCCCTTCTTCTACCCTTCCCTCTCCTTCCCCTCCCCTTCTTCCCCTTCTCCCCTTTCCCCTTCTTCCCCTCCCCTCCTTCCCCTTCTTCCCCTTCTTCTTCCCTTTCCCCTTCTTCCCCTTCTTCCCCTTCTTCCCCTTCTTCTGCCCTTTCCCCTTCTTCCCCTTCTTCCCCTTCTTCCCCTTCTCCCCTTCTTCTTCCCCTTCTTCCCTTTCCCCTTCTTCCCCTTCCCCTCCTTCCTCTTCTTCCCCTTCTTCTGCCCTTTCCCCTTCTTTCCCTTCTTCCCCTTCTTCTGCCCTTTCCCTTTCCCCCTTCTTCCCCTTCTTCTGCCCCTTTCCCCTTCTTCCCCTCCCTCCTCCCTTCCCCTTCTTCTCTTCCCTTCTCCCCTTTCCCCTTCTTTCCCCTTTCCCCTTCTTCCCTTCTTCCCCTTCTTCCCCTTCTTCCCCTTCTTCTGCCCTTTCCCCTTCTTCCCCTTCCCCTCCTTCCCCTTCTTCCCCTTCTTCCTCTTCTTCCCTTTCCCCTTCTTCCCCTTCAGGTCCCCTCTCTCCTTTTGGCCTCCGTCTCAGCAGCTCCCATGGGGAAGGAAGAGTCCCCGCACCCCATGGCGCTCCGCTCCCTCTCCCCAACGTTCTCAGTGGCTTCTGAGCTCGAGTGGAACCCCACGAGGGACGGCGGTTCCGGAGCGGGTGCTGGCAGAGGGGGGCGGTTAGCAGAGGAGGCAGGACCAGGGATGGCAGAGGGGCGGTTGGGGAGGGCACAGGAGTGCCGCCCAGGGGGCAGCGGGCTGGGCTGGCAGCGCCCCGCGGTGGGTTGGGGGGACCCCCAGAGGCTGTGGGGGAGCGCCGGTCCTGACCTTGCGGGTGGCCGTGGCGTTGGCGCCGGGCGCCACGGGCGCGCTGGTGGCCTGCACGAAGAGGAAGTCGTTGTCCAGCAGCGGCCAGGCGCCGCGCACGCGGCACGTGTGGAAGAGGTGCTGGAAGCTGCGCACGTGCGGGTCCCCGAAGGCGGCGCAGTGCAGGAAGCCGGGCGGCCGGCCGTGCAGCCGTGCGAACCGCGCCGCGTGGTCGCAGGGGTCCGGGGCGGCGGGGCCGGCGGCGGGCAGGGCCGGGCCGCGCGCGGGCGGCGGCGCCGTGGGGCCCTGGCGGGAGCAGTTGTGCTGGATCATCAGGTCCTCGATGCCGTGCACGGCCGAGTGGAAGGCCAGGTCCCCGCGGCAGGTGCGCGCCGTGCGCCGCGTGCAGAGCGCGTAGGAGCGCAGCGCCCGGCACAGGCCGCCCGCGCCCCCGCCGCCCCGGCCGCCGCCCGCGCCCCGGAGCGCCCCCGGGGAGCCCCCGCCGCGGAGGCTCAGGGTGGACGACACGTACTCGGCGTTGCAGCGGAGGATCTTGCACTGGGAGTGCGCTGGGGGCAGAGCGGGGGAGAGTGAGCTGGTCCCCAGAGCCCTCTCTACCGGAGATGTCCCTCCAGCCCCCACCTCTCCCCAGGGGCTGCCAGCCCTCCCTGAAACCACGGAAGGCTCCCAAGGCCCGGCCCCAGCCCCCTAGTCCTGTCCTCACTCGGTTTTGCTAGAATGGATAAGCCCGCTGCAGCTTCCCTGTCCCTCCCGGCCCCTCCCGGGGCTCCTCCCAAGCTGATGGGAGACAGTGTGCACCTGCCTGAGAGTGGGGGGGGGGGGGGGGACCCTGACCCTGGGCACCCCTTCTTCTCTCCCTCATGCTCACACGCCCACCCTCCAGAGCAGCCTGCCTTCTAGGCCCCCCCCCCCAAACCCTCCCCTGGCCCCTCCTTACCATATCCACAGAGGAGCAGCAGGAGAGTGAGAGTGCTTAGAGTTGGGGGGCTGCCATGCGGGGGCCGGGGACCGGGGCACTGGCCTGGATCCCCCATACCTATCCAGCCAGGTCCCCGCAGGCTCCGGCTCTCTGCAGCCCTCGGCTGTCCTACCTAGTGGACGATGACTGGCTGGCCGTCCTGCAAGAGACGGGCGCCGGGAGAGAGGAAAGTGGAAGGCTGTTCCGGAGGATGTGAGGGGCGTGTGGGAAGGTCAAGAGAAGGATGAGAGGCTGGAGTTTGGGGGGAACGGGGCTCCCGGCACTGTACGTGTGGCTGTGACCCCTGTGCCCTGCCCCGCGGCCACACTCAGGCCCCTTATGCAACACCCCGGGCGGGGGTGGCGGGAGCAGTGAGTGGCCCGGGGTGGGGGGCAGAGTCCACGGTGTTGCCCCATTCTGAGCGACCGAAACAGCAGCAGCGTCCAAAGAGGAGGAATCGTGGGGGCAGAGCAGACCCAACCATCCCAGTAGGTTCCCCGGCAGAATGACAGGTTCCCCGGCAGAATTAGGGGCTGGGAAGTGCTTCGGAAACACACCTCCGGTTTGCCTCTCCCCATCAGGAGGGACCCCCGGGGGCCGTTCTTCCCCTTTTACCCGCTTTGTGTCAGAATTTTCAGCAAGAAGGAGGAATGGGAGAACACCCGTCCCTCAGTATTCAAATGAGAAGGGAACTGGTTTCTTTCCGTCTGTTCTAGAGAGCGGCCGTGGTAACCCCTCTCTTCTCGGATCCTGGGGTGCACCCCGAGCATGCACAGCGACATCCGCCTGTTAGGAGCCCACCGTTGAGCATTTCCAAACCCGAACGAGGAGTCCCTTTCCCGTTAACCTTCCCTCTGCAGATTTAGGAGTTCTCAGTCTTGGGGAGGGGCCTGGCTCTCCTGGGGCAAGGGGACACCTGGGGCACAATCACAGGAGGGAGAGTGGGATGGCAGGTCCAGAGTCGTGGGGAGAAATCACTTATGACCAGGCCAGCCTCCGTGGAAGCCCAGGCAAAGGGCACGCCAAGCAGGGACAGGGTGGACGGGTGTCATGACTAATCATGTGAGGCTAAATTTGGCCTTGATGAGAAAACCACAGACTCAGGGACGCGGGGAACTCCTGCTGAAGAAGGAAGCCTCGGGGTACCACGGAGAGCGAAGAAAGAGCTTACACTGCCCCAGGAGAGGAGAGCCGGAGGCGGAGACCTCCAATGGCTCGAGGCCAGAGAGCAATCAGACCGAAGGAGAACTGCAGGTCGGGGCACCTGAGCCCCGGAGAGGGGAGAGGTCTTAGCTTTTGGACCGGGGGTTTCTGTGGTCATTTTGTGGAAGCCTAACTTCAATCCAGAAGTGCATGAAAGGCATTGCAATTTCGTTTGACTTACTGTGTCCAGAGATCAAACATTACTCTGCTATCCGGGTCTCCAGCCACGACTGCCTACTCTGTCCGCCAGCTCCGGCCAGGGCATCCCCCGTCTCTTCCTCCATGTCTCCCCCAGGCCCCCGGGCCTGGGGCCTGCTGCAACCGCAGTGAGGCCAGGGAGCCAGAGAAGGGCCGGGGTGGGGGGAAGGGGGAGTATATGGCTGGCGGGAGCACTGGACAGCTGAGCGGGGGGAGGGAGGTGGCTACTGAGTTGACTGTTTTAAAAATAGCTAAGTCCAAAATTCCAGGAGCTTTGATGGGGGTAGGGTGTGGGAGCTGGGAGGGGAAGGAGGATTAGGAAGAATGTGGGGTGTAGGGTGCCAAGTAGGGGAGGGCGGACAGAACGATGACAGGCAAGTCGGAATATCCAGTTCCAGCTTCTGGGACTCCAGTAAAGCCTACGCCAGGCAGCCCTCCAGCAGGGTCACTAAGGAGCCCCCGGCCTTTATTTATCACTAGACTGGGTGCTCTAGCCGGATCGCTCAGTGCATAGAGCCTCAGCCTGTTGGCTTTATTGTCTCTCCTGCCTTCAGTTCTGGCCAAGGGCACCTGCCCAGGTTGCAGGCTTAATCCCCCCAGCAGTAGGGGACTTGCAGGAGGCAGCCAATCAATGATTCTCTCTCATCATTGATGTTTCTGTCTCTCTAGCTCTCTCCCTTCCTCTCTGGAATCAATAAAAAAAATATATCGCCGAAACCGGTTTGGCTCAGTGGATAGAGCGTCGGACTGCAGACTGGAAGGTCCCGGGTTCCATTCCAGTCAAGGGCATGTACCTTGGTTGCGGGCACATCCCCAGTAGGGGGTGTACAAGGAGGCAGCTGATGGATGTTTCTCTCTCATCGATGTTTCTAACTCTCTATCCCTCTCTCTTCCTCTCTGTGAAAAATCAATAAAATATATTTTAAAAAATTAAAAATATATATTTAAAAAAAGAAAAGACTTGTAAAAAATAAATCAAGTTAGGGTGGGCAGTTGTGTGCCTCTGGTTCACCACGCCCATCACCACCCTCACCTCTGCTGTATTGAATGTTGCATTTTGTTCCTACAGAGCAGAGCTGGGGGGAGCTGACTTTGAACGAGGTCCAGAGCGGAAGCAGTTGACAGCCCTCCCCATCTTTGCGGACTATTTCAGAAGGACCGAAAAGCCAGCTGTCCGGAGGAGAAACCTGAGCTCGAAGTTGTTTAGGATGAGGGTTCAGTCCACCAGCTCCGATCCTTGCAGCTGTCTATCCCCCTACCACCTCCATTTTCATACAGCAGCGTCTCTTCCCTCCTTCTCACAACACACACACACACACACACACACACACACACTCACACACACACTCACTCACTCCTGAGTTGCCGGGTGTGTGGGGGAGAGAGTGGGGAGGCTAACCAAGGCAAAGTGTGTGTGGGGAGATAGAAGTTTTTGACAATTACTAACCCCCAAGGGAGGGGCCCTTGGAGAGAGAAACAGAGAAAAAGAGACTCAGAAAGCTACTTTTGTGGAGTAACATAATCCTGCGACCTTATAAAATATTGCAGGACTTTAGCCATGCCATATTTCTGCAGCTTTAGGTTGCTGGGACCATTCACCCTTAGGACTTGCCAAGTGAAATTAACACGGCTGATTCCACATTGGGTCACTAAGGCATCTGCATTGATTGCCTCTACGTTTAATTCAGAATCTGGAGGCCCACAAGGATCCTTCTCTTCATTATACAGATATTTCTGAAGAATGCACTTTTCCCCGTGACCACACAAGGCCACATCGTAAAGGCTTTTATTGCCAAAATGTAAAAGGCCCTCAAACAAACTATCCAAGTGACTTTAAAACAATAATTTGACCATGGCGTCCCAAGTGCAATATACTCTAAGGACAAAAAGAAGTGCAAACATTTTTTAAAGCCGGCCCATTAGTGGTGGGAGTGTTCGTATTGTTGTTCTGAAACTATTGTGCATTGTGAGGTAAAACAAATGAGTGTTAAATATCAGTGTATTCAATGGACACAAGACACTGGGGAGTGGGGGCGGGGATGAGGGCATGTGACAGAGGGTAGGGGAGGCTGGGGGAAGCTCAATGGAGGGGAAAAAGATATATGTACTACTATATGGAATACTTTAAACAATAAAAAATAATAAAAATATCAGTGTATTTTTGAAACAGGATTTTTGGTGTAGAACAAAGAGGTATAGATTTATAGTTGATACAGTTAAAGTAAAAACTTTATAATTCTGAATTTCAATTGGAAATATAATGCGGAGCTCATGATGTTTTTATCCCATTTCCTAACTTTATCTTTAAAAGGCCTGGAAACAATGACCCGTTAGCAATGATCATGCTATTGTTCACACTGAGCTATCCAATGCCATTTCCCACTAAAGGAAGTCCTTGGAGAAGTAACCAGTTTCGGGGGGGGGGGGGGGGGGGGGGGGGAGAAATTGTCCAAGATAAGCAAGGAAGCTTTCCAAGACTGAAGATTGTATCAAAAGGAACCAGAAGCTACGAGAATAATTTCTACTGGCCAAAGATAGGCAATCTGAGTGTCAAAATGAACAGTAGCTACAATGAATTTCAACACATCTGTTGTGCTTAAAAATGCTTAAATCTGAGTTCACAGTGATACTTAATTGTAGTAAAATACACATAGGATAGAATTTACTACCTTAACATTTTAAGTGTACAGTTTAGTAGTGTTAAGTACATTCATATTATTGTGATCGATAAACATATATGTATTAAAAAAATAAAGCATATTATTGTGCAGCCAATCTCCAGAACTCTTTTCGTCTTGCAAAACTGAGTCTATATTCCCATTAAACATAAATTAAACTTATTTTGAGGTAATGATGGCCTTATATGCATTTGTAATGAATAATAGAGAGATCTGAGTGTTCTTTTCCTAGCTTCCCCCACCCTCACAGTGGTGACATGTTGTGAAATTATAGTACAACATCTCAACCAAAATATTGACATTGTTATATCAAGCTACAGGGTACTTCCATTAGAAGTATACCTCATGTTGCCACATCCCCACTTTAACATCTAGCAATAAACAGGTTATAGTATGCAACCTTTGGGATATCTATTTTATTTTATTTTTTTTTTTGAGAGAGGGAGGGGGTGGAGAGAGAGAAACATCCTTGTGAGAGAATCATCAATCAGCTGTCTTCTGCATGTTCCCTGCTAGGGAGTGGGCCCCGCACTGCAGGCATGTGCCCTAATTGGGAATCCAGTTGGCATCCAATCCCTAGCTTCTCTTTTCATCCTCAGAACAGGGTGTTCTGCAGAGCAGATGTGTTTTAATTTGGATGAAGTTTATTTTATCAGCTTTTCCTTTTACAGAGAATGCTTTTGGTGTCAAATATTTGCCTAGCCCTTCTAAAAGTTTTATGCTTCACACTTAAGTTCATGATCTACTTTGAGTTGGTTTTTGTATCAAGTCCGAGATTGAGGTTAAGGTTTTTTGTTTGTTTGCTTATGAATGTCAGTTTCATCAGCAATGCATATTTAAAAAGCTATTGTTCTTGCCCTCACTGGTTTGGTTCAGTGGATAGACCGCTGGCCTGCAGACTGAAGGGTCCCAGGTTCGATTCCAGTCAAGGGCATGTACCTTGGTTTTGGGCACATCCCCAGTAGGGGGCATGCAGGAGGCAGCTGATCAATGTTTCTCTCTCACTGATCTTTCTAACTCTCTATTCCTCTCCTTTCCTCTTTGTAAAATTAATAAGTTCTTTTTAAAAATGCTATTCTTCATTCAATTGATTTTCCCTTTTAATAAATCTTGGGTAAAGTCTTAAGTAAAATGGGAAAGCGATTCCTCCCACTTCTTCTTCAAAATTTGTTTTAGCTATTCTAGTTCCTTTGCCTCCCCATATAACTTTTAGGATAATTTTGTCTGTAGCTACAAAAATCTTTCTAGGATTTTCCCCTCACTAATTTCATTTTTTTGATATCACAATCATATTTTATTTTGAGAAATGTCTTGATTTTGATGTTTAACAGAAATTTTGTGTATTTTATTTTTTGTTAATCCTCACTGATAGATATTTTCCCCATTGATTCTCTCTCTCTCTCTCTCTCTCTCTCTCTCTCTCTCTCTCTCTCTCTTTCCAGAAAGTGGAAGGGCCGGGATTGAACCTATAGCCTTGGCACGGGGAGACAATGTCTTTTCTCTGCTCTCGAAGGGTATTTTTACTGGATATAGGAATCTGGAATGACAGTCTTTTCTTTCTGCACTTGAAAAATGTTTGTGCCATTTCTGGTTTCCATGGATTCTAACAAGCAATTTGCTGTCATTCAATATGTGTCATTTTTCACTGTTTTCAATAATTTTTTCTTTGATTTTTTTAGCTGTTAGCAGTTAGACAATGATGCGCCTTGACATGAATTTGTTTGCATTTATCCTCTTTGGGGTTTGCTCATGTTTTTCAATCTGTAGGTTTATCCCTCTGCCAAATTTGGGGGAGTTTTCAGCCTTATTTTTTTTATTTTATTAACAGCTTTATTGAAATATAATCCACATACCATAAAATCCATCTGAGTTTTGTCTCGTTTCATTCATTGATTTCCTATAGGCCTGGGTTTAATCCCACCACGTAACCCTGTATTGTCTATGCGCCTCACTTAGTTCTTGGTTTTACTGTCTCTCCTGCCTTCCAGGTTGACATCATCCTGCCTCATTCCACGTCTTCCTCTTAGTATACTATACACTTTTTCTCTCTTTCAGCGGTTATCTTAGAATTCTAAATGTGTATGTTGACTTACATTCTAACTTCTACCCTTCCTACAAATCACCTTAGAGTAATTCCACTGCAGTCATGCCTGAAGCTGCCCTCTCTCCCAGGGCCCTGAGCCCTCCATCCCATCTCCAGCGTGGGAGTTGGATTGGTATGGGCAGTCCCCAAGGCCACTCCCTTCCTGCTCCTTCAACAGGAGAGGGGAGAAGGGGCCAGGGAAGAGCCCCCTCATTCCCTCCTCACTGCCCCCTCATCCCGCACCCTGCAACGTTTCGGGGGCTTTCTGGCCTCACAAAAGAAAGCTGGAGCCAGGATCCGGTTCAGCTGCTATAGCAATACTACTAATAAGGATAAATATAATATTGAATAAGTATTAAAGTGTGGAATTGAAGTGTGATATCTGAAAGTATGGAATGGAATGTAAACAAACTGATAAGCACCCTTGAGCGACCTGTATGTAGGAAATAGATAAAGTGATCTGTACCCCATATGTAAGACCGGATAGCAGGGCTCCTGGGACTTGCTGATAAGACACACCGAAGACACATCTGAGCACTGAAGACACATACAAAGAGCAAGCTCCACAGAAGATCAGAGATGCCCCTTCTG